CAGATACTCCAGGAGGCGACAGGACCTGTGGGTGAAGTGACCCCCGGATAGGTGACAAGCAGTAGCCGTCCTGCCCCAGCAGCCCCACTGCACAGCAGACCGAGAGGAGGGGAGAGAAATTACTTCACCGGCTGAATTTCGGGTGAACGTCTGGTAGGTCAGACTGTACAAGCCCGGAGTGGCATTTAGCCAGGACACTGAAGTTAACCTTCAGTGCCTGGGACCTGTAATGATGTAGTTGTAGGGACCTCAGTTTAATCTAACACATAATGAACAGTGGCAACTTTCTCTGCTCCCGGTCACCACACGGGGTTTGGAATTTCTATTGCAGAGGCGAGAGCACCACCTACTGGTTCACCAATGCCACTTAGAGCAGCTGTAACAAGTTTTCTTTAGAGGCCCAGCCCAGCCCTGCTTATCTAAGATCTGACCAGATCAGGCAGGCTGCAAAGTGGGTATTTGGTCAAGTAAAATTAAAGTCCAGTAGAAATAGTGTGTTTATAATTTCCAAGTGATCAACTTGGAAAAGCCTTTAGTACCTGCAGGAGTGTTTTATGTGGTGAAAGGAGCAGAGTGCAGAACAGTCTGTATTTCTGTATTTCCCATTCCTTTTACTATGAATACCTGCTCTTTTTAATGGTTGATTTCCGGTTCATTAAAAAATACTACACATGAACTGAGCAGTCAGTTCCACAAACTTTTTTTTATCATGTATCTCTTGACGAGAGCTTTCTTTTCAAACGGTTCCTGATAATTAGGGAAGTAACTTTGGCTATGTGGTTTCCACTGCTGGAGACACAAACTGAAATCCCTGAAATTATGAACAGTGTGACCTGTATTCCACATTTGGCAGAAAACTCCTTACAACGTCACATGGTGCAATGACTGAAAGTTTGACAAACTTAGAAGAAGTTGTATTTGGTAAAAATGTCTACATTTGCATTTAGTTGCATTTACTGAAATGCAAGCACTGCACATTGTAATAAGTGTGTCAGTAATAACCTTACTGCAGACACAGGCTGCCAGCAACAGTAGTTCTGCAAATGTGATATGCTGTATATGTGTATTATATTATACTTCTCTGTATATACTTCTCTAGGAAGCATTGTCATTCCACCCACCAGTTTCCAGTTGTGTGCTTCCCCACAGCTGAAAACCAACTGCCTTCCACCCTCTCCCCTGTCTACCTTCACAGCGATTCCTCAGAAGGTCCTTCTATAGGATCATGAACCTGTCTGCAACAGCATTGTAGAAACGTGCCAATTCCCAATATAATTACAAACTCGTGTTTTTAATGTAGGCCATAATGGCACTAACTTGCTACTGACTAGCATGTAGTGATGATTTTAAATATTAGTATTCTTGCATAATATGGGTTTGAACATATGTCACTGTATACACAAGATGGAATGAACGTTCAGCATCAGTATGTGGGGCGTGCTTTCAGGACGACTGTGTAGCAGTGGTGAAAGTTCTGTACTGGTACTTGGAAGGTTGTGAGTTTGAATCCCAGATGAGAAACAGCTGTTGTACCCTTACACAACACACCTCACCCTAATCGCTCCAGTAGAATACTCAAGCTGTGTAATGAGTATGAATGTATTTCACTAATTGATATTTCAGCAGAGCAGCACAGAACACAGAGTCCCTGTCCATGAGGGTCAGAGTCCCTCTGTGTTCGTTCTACAGGTTATGTTCAATTGTCATCTGCTTATGGCTTAAAAAAAAGTGATTTCATTTCTTTTCCAAACAATTAATTAAATTCAATTAATCGATGAACATCAGAACTGGAATAAGAACCAGAGGTCCCTGATGCTCTCCAGGGATCCAGCAGGAGTCTTTCAAACTGATGTACACAGTAGGTTCAGTAAAAAAAAACACTGACACAAAGTTCCACCTTTAAAGAGACATTCCTTGACAAATGAGCTGTTTTAAAGTGGCTCTTTCTGTAGGTGGTGATGACTTTTAAGTGGATCAGCAGTTTTCATGAGCGGGGAGCAGGAGGGTGCAGTGCAAGGTGCAGAAGACAGGGGGCGCTCTTGTTCTTCTGGGTCACTGGTGAGGAGCTGGGCGGATATAGCTGCTGTTGATGCAGATCTTAACTGATTAGTGAGGGGAAAAAAAACAGACAAGAAAAAAAGAAAGTCATGCCGCAGCAGTAATGGAGCTACGAGGGGAGTTGCTGAAGTCCATCTGGTATGCTTTCACTGCTCTGGACGTGGAGAAGAGTGGCAAGGTCTCCAAATCACAGTTGAAGGTAAGTGTGGTCCGTTGTGCGTAGTTTTCTACTGCTGGTGGATGTTGCTGAAGAGAGACAAAGAAGAGACTCTGGCAGTGTCATGTTGTTCTGCAGGGACGATGTTCGGTGCTGTGACTTCCGATGTGCTGTCGTCTCGTGCAGTTTCACTCGCCACTGATGCCCTTCCAAGCGTGGTTTTAAAAAGTCTTAAGTGAGTTGGCTGGAGTGGGAATCAGTCTGGTCCCTGGCGGGCTGAGATGGATTTATTTGAGGGGATTCGCTCTGCTGTGTTCAGTGTCGTGCATTTCCTGGTTCAGGTGACTGCTCTGCTCACAGTTTTCACCATCATTTGAAATCCTCTGTCTATATTCAGCAGGGCTCAGCCAGCATGGTCTGTGATGAAAGTTTTATCTGCGTGTGAAGCCCAGCATCAACCACGTTTGGTGCTCTCTCATTTTGTAAAGAACAAAATTACTTTCAAATTACATTCCAGGAACTGTACTTTATTTATTAGGGAAATTCCTTTAGTAACTGTGAGCTAATTCTAATAGTCCACAACCCCACCATGAAGACATATATATGAAGACCTATAGTGCTTTTAGTTAAAAACTAAAAATATTTGTGCTATTGTTGCCACCAGGCCTTATTTGACAACGTCTTGCTTTTAAGAACAAAAAAAAAACAATTGAAATAAATATTTGTCATAGCACAGAAATTTTCTTTTGTACGCAATTATGAGAGTGTGTGTCTTAAAAAGTGAAGACCAGAGATGAAGAGTGAGTTCATTTCTTGTCTCTTCATGAGGAAAATGAAGGAATTTTGCAAAGTCAAGCTGGTTAAGAAACATTTTGATTAAAACTGATTTCTTACTTCAGGAGTTTCCATATCTTGTGCGCTGTTGAAAGTTAACGCTTCACAGAATAAGACACAGGTAGATAGTTTCCTTCTGTAGTTTGAAAGGTGAAGACAATGAATGACCATGCAGATATATGTATGCCCTTATTAAGAAACCCATGAGCCTATGTTGCAGTATGCAAGAATTGATTATATCAATCATAACATTGGCTTCTGTCTTTTACTTTGGAGAGGGGGTGCACATTCCAGGTTCAGATCCTGACCGTGAGGAAGTTCAAGGCCCAGAACCAACTTGCTCCACAGACCTGTTCAAAAGAGGAAGTGACAATACTCTGTGGCTGAAAGACATTCATCCATCTTACGTTTTTCATCCGAATTTCGTACTGAGTCACTCAGTGAAGCACTGGCCCCGTGATGCAGTCAAGGAGCTCCTAGAATTCTGTTCAGAGAGGGGCTTTTGTTGATGGCTAATTTTATATTTGACATATTGTCACTTCCCCCTCTGGTACCAAAGTATTTCTGAGAGTATCCTGACCTGGATTGAGTCTGCCCCACACAGCCCTGTGAAAACTGAATTCATGCCACACCTGTGGGGAGATTGAAAGTACCAGGTCTGGCACAACCTGTGTTGTACATTTCAGACACTCCATGGAGCCTCAGGGGATGTGTTTCTCCATGTGAGAGTGAACACAAAACCATAAGAAATTTGGCAAACAAGGGGAGGCCATCCAACCCATTTAACACGTTTGGTTTCTAGCAGTTAATGACTCTGCAGATCTTATCCACCCATTTCTTGAAAGAAACCAGGGTATCACCCTAAATAACATGGATGTGTTGCTTGTTCCAGACACCCGAAACCCTTGTTAACAGTGTGGATGGAGGTAGTGCAAGACAATGATTTGACAGTGAAAGTGACAGTGACAGTGAAAACATGAGGTTTATTTTTGGGGGGGACAGGGGGTGGGTCAGCGCTGCCAAAGTCTGCAGGGTCTGTGGGAACATCGAGTAAGAATATTCCAAAAGCATACATGTGTCTCAGAGGCATCATGATGACTGTGATTCCTGGTGCATAAAGTCAGCCAAGTGTATATTATCCCTCTCGCTGACTGTAACACTAGTCCAACACTAGTTAACATTAAATTAAGATAGAGCACCTTGGCTCAAGGATGCCACAGCAGTGTCTGCCCCGAGGGACTGAGAAGGACCCTTGAGCAGTAGGCCAGGGGTCTCGGCGCCTGCAGGGGCGCCAGGACAGAGGGTGATTTTGACGTCTTCGTGGGCTTCTCTCACGTCCGTGTTCACCTGGTCTGCGGGCTGCGCTGACCTGCCTGTGTCCCTTGTCCCTTGGCAATCGGGGACTGAGAAGGGATTGGGTCCCATGACCGGGATAATCCCCCTCACGCGCAGGGGCTGTGCGGAGAGCAGCAGCGAGCTCAGGCTCGGCTCGGCACGGGCAGGCGGCATCAGTCTCGCCCTCCTTCTTCTGGCGAAAGGAGGTGGGGTAGGCAGGATGTGGTAGGAAACTTGAGATCTCCTGTTTGCAGACATGTAGAAATAAAGAGCTCACTTCTCATTTCTTTTTTTCTAGTTTGACATGCTGTTTCTCTCCTTCCATGTCATAACAAAAAACCTGCAAAACACAGTTTAAAAAAAAAAACAAATTCAAGAAAGTTGGGTCTGCACATCATATCTAGTTTTCATTTTTTAAAGAGGTTCGTTTTTTTTTGTTCCCTGTTCAAACAAGATCATCCGAAATACGCACGGAAGTTATGTTGGCTTTTCAGACCTAGAGTTCTCCACCTCCTGATCGTAACCAGAAATAAAAAAATAAAGTTGGTGACAGTTTTGCTAAACGTTTGGGATTCACTGTGTTTCTTTTCATTTAAAAGCTATTGCTTAAATTGTTTTACAATTAAAAATCAACATTTGTTGCTCTCTGTGGGTAACTTTGTGAATATGTAGTTTAGAACCCTTTTCTGGTCTTATTTTGAAATCTCTTCATTGCATCTACATTAAATGTTCTTTTTCGTTAACTCAGGCTAGTATAAATTTTTATCAATAATCCTCATAGGGTTTTTATATGAATTTTTAAATCTAGAGTTAATTTTAGATATTTCATTATATATACTGTATTGAGATGTATTTGATCAAATATCTATAGAATATGTTTCAATTTAATTAAAATACACCTGTTATTTGTTTAAATCATTATTCAAAAACTGCTGTTTACAGTGTCTGATTTTGGCCTAATTTTCACAGCCATCTGATAAAATAAGTAACCAGCTATGCAGGTTTCTATTTTATCAAATTATGTTGGTTGTCAGTGCAAATGAGGATTAGACAAGACAACAGCAAATGTAAAAAACAAACAAACTACAAAATGAAAATGATTCTGTAGGGTAATTCTTAGGGCGTTGTTGTATTGTCTGGTCCCAGGTGATAAATAAGCAACAATATCAATTATGAGAAGGTTTTAAAGTTTCAGAGGTAAAATCCTGTTCTGCCTAAATGTCTAGGAATTAAGGAACCAGGTCATGATCTTAACTGTGAGGTCAGCTTGGCCATTTGTGCTTACATTCCTTCTTCTAACATGCTGTAGGTTGACCTGTTTTTCATTGTGGCCATTTTTTTCTGCTGTATTCAAAAGTAAGTTCCTATTTTGCATTTAGCTTTGTGAACTACTGTTATGTCTATTGGGTTTTGATGATGAATGCAGGAACTAAGATCAGACAGAAAAGGTCATTGTTGTTTTAAATCAGTGGAGTACAGCACCAGTCCTGGACAGGCAGAAGGTTTCTGGTTTTCTTTCCACTTCAGCCCTTAATTACCTAATTGAACTCATTATTTGCTTAATTGGATAGGGCTTATCCTTTTATTGTTCTTAAGAACCTGGAGATTTAAAGATATAAAACCTGCTGGACAGCACGTTCTTCCTTAAGAAGGGAGGGTGGGAGTGAGGGATACAACCAACAGGATGCAGTAAAGCTGATTTAAACTTTCCCTTCTGAAAACTGGGCTTCATTTTCAAAAGGGAAGCTGATATTGTCCACACATTCTGAAAACAAAGGGGTGTGATTTAATTTCATAATATTTCACAATATTATTATTTTAATAATAGCACATAAGTATAGAGTCAAGCAAGATAATTGCATCTCTGTTTCGTTGTGTTTGTGTTTCTTTGTGTTCTTTGTGTTTCACATGAAGTGTTAGGGGCTGAGTCTGTTAAGGCCTGTCGGTAGAGTGCTGTGTGTGTTAAGGGATGTCAGGAGAGTGCTGAGCATTTTAAGTACTTTCAGTAGACTGCTGAGTGCGTTAATATGTTAAGGCCCGTCGGAATTCTGAAAAGTCGTCTGAAGTCTTGTTAGCAATGCTTTTGCTGTGAAGGCTGTCTGGTAAGCTTACTGCTTAAGACAACTGTATTGACTTGTCTCAGAGACTTCCTTTGAATTAGACCCATGTTCAGTGCACTGTGTCACCTCCTGTGTAAATCTAGCATATGTGATACTTTTTTTAGAGTTAAGCGATGGAAATGCAATGCAAGTTGAAACCCATCCTGAAAAAGCTTTGACCTCTAGTTCTCTTTAAAGATCACAGATATATTCAATAGTAAATCAGCAAACAAACAAAGTTCCTTATGTATACAGTTGACCCTGGTGTCAGTGACAGTGAACTGTTGCATTTTGTAGATCAACACAGACACAAGCGAGCCCGGAAATAAGATGAAATATAATCTCGGTTGACACGTTCACCAGATGATGTCAAACTGAATTGATCCTAAATTACAAAGACTTTTGTCCAGAATTTAGTTATAATTCAAAATAGTTACACTTACAGACCCTGATATTAATCAGGTATTGAGTTTCTTTTTGCTGATTGAAAATGTTGGACCATTTTAGCCACTTTCACAGGTCTGAAGCAGACACTGACTAGAGAAGGCCTTGCAAACACTGCCTTACAGTACTGTATTCACAGAGCTCGGAACAAACATGGCCGATTGTGGTCACTCAAATTATGTGTTCGGCAGGGATGTCACCGTTGTGGGCGAAACTGTTATCTAATATTTTTTTTTTAATGAAAATATTAATTACAAACATGAGGGAGCCAGTCTTGCCTGTCTGGGTATTTGTTACAAATTTATCAGAGGATGGCCTCTGAGTCTTTTGTGAAGGAAGCTGCGGTATAGGTTTCAAAAACAAACCTGGCTTATATCTTCCGGACTTCAACAAAATAGTGCTTCACATTCTCAGTCTTAAAGGCACTTCCTCTTCATGCTGTCAGGTGCCCTCTGCTCTGTGTTTATTTATAATGTTTCTTTTTTGGCTTTTGGTGTTGGATTTCTACTTTTAGCTGCTCTGATCTTGCCTTCCTGAGGACGTTCCTCATGAGAGGAGTTGTGAGGCTCCACGTGCTCCTTCCTGACCAAACAATGAGCTGCTCCTCTCCCCACAAAGATGCTGCTCACTGGCAGCATCCTAAAGCATGCCTCAGCCTGAAATAGCACAATTAAACCAACAAATAATGAAACATATCGGCTGTCTGAAAACTTTGATGTTCCTGAAACAAGATCTAGGCTCGTTTCAGAAGCCCTCAAAAAACTGTGGCTGCATTTTGCTTATTTAGTGCAATGCTTAAGAGCAGCTTTAGTTTTGGGATAGAAAACAAATTATATCCCTGTAAGAGCACAGCACAGCAGAGCCACCCTTCCTGTTATCAACTTAGCTATTCCTTCAAAAGTCTTTTTTTAAAGTTTCTTGTAGTAAGCTTCCTGTAGTAAATGTCTGACACGAGGTGCTAAAAAATATATAAATTGATAGTGACTGCTCTGCAAAATTTACAAATACAAGTGTTGGCCACTGTGTTCTCTCTAAAATGTGTGTGCACATGTATCTTAACTGTATTGGCAGCCTGCTTTGTGACAAAAATCACAAGAGTCTTCAGCTTTGACTATGAACACGAGTTGTAGTTTTAACTGTATTTAATGCCTAACTTTAGTGTTTGCTATTTCCTGTGATCATATTAAGCCTACATTTCCCATTATTCTTTGTCATGATTATCTGCCATGGAGTTTCTCTTATAAATGAAAGGCTGGGTGAGTAGTCTTGTTCTAAGAGCCTCATGATCTGTTAAGATACTGGTTTCCAGGCCTTGTTCTGGAGGACCACTATGCCACTGTACCTTTTCATAGTATTTTTGTGTAGAATACCCATGGCTCAAACTTCCACAATGAGAAAAATGTGCACTGGTGTCTAGAATTGAGTTATTAACACTGTTATTTTGTTATGGCCTGGGGTGATCATGAAAGTCATGTGTTCCTGCTGCATCAAAACTCTTACCACGACATCTCACGGCCTTTTTTCTCATGTTTGCTACCTTGCTAGCCCTGTAGAGCTGTAACCTGGTAACTGTGATGTATGTTATTATTTTGCTAATGCAATAGGAAGTGCAATCTTAAACTCACTCCACACAGAGACCGCAGTGCAACTGACTTCCCTCTCTGTCTTCCCTGTCATCCTTCCCAGTGTGCTGCACAGGAGACATGCTTGCCCCTGCTAGGGAGCAGTCTGCAAAGGTAGATGTGCACTGCTGTCCTGAAACTAGGCTCTCTGTTGGGTGATTGACAAGTCTTAAGAAGAAGATACGGCATATCTTCATAAGCAATAAAGAGTACTGACTCCTACAGATACTGTAAATCTCCCTGGTGGAGACTGTCAGTGAGATTTAATTACCTAATACAGGGTTTACCTCAATTTTAGCAGAAGAGATTGTGCATCTTCATCTTCTTTAGGTTTCAGTCACAAACCTTTTCATACCTATTATTTTGTCACGTTTTACTACATGACGAGGCGTTTGAAGGGCAGTAATGCAGGATGTAATTTGGGATGTGTCCTCTTTCAGGGTTTCATGGCTTTGGGATGATTCAGTCATTGAACCATGCATTTCTGTACCTTCCGATGGGTCTGAGAAGAGCACATAGTTGTATTTTTATGGTGTGCACCAACTCCAAAGTGTAAACAATGTAAAACATGTGTAAAACTGAGAAAAAAATGAAAACATTCTTTGCTTGAATTTTATTTTTCAAAAACTAAGTGCCAGCTCATGAGTTAAAATTGCATTCTTGCATAGGGTCTCCAAGGAAAGCCAAACTCCCTCACATTGCTTCTATGGTTAATCTCGTTTTTTTTTCTTCTTTGTGTGTGTCTGTGTGTTACCTTGTGTGTCTCTGTGTTGCCTTGTGTGTCTTTGTGTTGTCAGGTCTTGTCTCACAATTTGTGCACGGTCCTGAGTATCCCTCATGACCCTGTTGCACTGGAGGAGCACTTTCGGGATGATGACGACGGCCCTGTGTCCAGCCAGGGCTACATGCCCTACCTCAACAAGTACATCCTGGACAAGGTACACACTCCCCTCCCTCAACAATTCCATCCTGGACAAGATACACACACCCCTCCCGCAACAAGTCTATCCTGGACAAGATACACACTCCCTTCCCTCAACAAGTCCATCCTGGGCAGGATACGCACTCCCCTCCCTCAACAAGTCTATCCTGGACAAGATACTTACTCCCCTCCCTCAACAAGTCCATCGTGGACAGGATACACACTCCCCTCCCTCAACAAGTCCATCGTGGACAGGATACACTGTCTATCCTGAACAAGATACACACCCCTTCCTCAACAAGTCCATCCTGAACAAGATACACACTCCCCTCCCTCAACAAGTCCATCCTGGACAGGATACACACTCCCCTCCC